CCCCTTGTGATTGTAAGCCGCCCTGAGTCCCCTCAGGGAGAAGGGTGGCCTATAAATCTCAATAAAATGATTTTTTAAAAAAATGATTTAAAAAAATGGTCTTGATGGACAACGTGGCAGCCAAGGCCCACGTGAACAGCCAAGGGGGCACTCATTCCAAGGCCCTTTGCGACGAGGCCCTCCGGTTGGGGAACTGGGCAGAGAGGCATCTCCAGTCCATCAGAGCGGAACACATCTCCAGGACAGAGAACCAGCAAGCAGAGTGGCTCAGCAGGGAGACGGTCGACAACGGAGAGTGGCAGCTCCATCCCAGCGTCTTTCTGCAGATCTGCGAGAGGTTCGGGTACCCGATGGTGGATCTTTTTGTAACCCCAGCGAACACCCAGCTACCGACCTTTGTATCGAGGTTCCCATCCAGAGGAGCCATGGACACGGACGCCCTTCGCTGCAAATGGCCACCAGGTCTTCTCTACGCTTTTCCTCCCCTTCCCCTCATTCCCGGGGTTCTGAGGAAGTTAGTGTCAGAGAGAGCAGAGATGATACTAGTGGCCCCCTTCTGGCCACGTCGCCCCTGGCTAGCAGACCTGGTGGAGCTGTCTTCAGCTCCTCACTGGAGGATTCCCCCGGGGGAGGTGTCTCTACACCAGGGATCTCTGGAGCATCCGGACCCGGAGTGGCTCCATCTGACCGCCTGGCAATTGAACGGGAAAAACTAAGAGAGGCCCATTTCCCCGCGAAGGTCATTAAGACCATCGAGGCGTCCAGGAGGCAGTCCACCACTCGCATCTACAATGCCTCCTGGGTCGCTTTCGCGGACTGGTGCCAAGCTAAGGACATGGTTCCAGCTGCAGCTTCTGTACCCCAGGTTCTGAACGTCCTGCAGGAAGGTCTGGAGAAAGGTCTGGCCCACAGCACCCTTAGGAGACAAGTTTCTGCCCTCTCCACGGTCCTGGGGGTGGTGGTGGTGGATTCACCACCTTTGTCTCAGCACCCGGTCCTAAGGCGCTTCCTCAAGGGAGCTGTGAATCTGAAACCCCCAGTGGTCCATCGATTCCTGACCTGGGACCTACCCACGGTCCTCCAGGCACTGACGGAGGCACCTTTCGAACCCTTGAGAGAGGTTTCCTTACAATTCCTGACCCTTAAGGTCGTCTTCCTGGTTGCCATCACTTCAGCCAGGAGAGTATCTGAGCTCAACGCTCTTTCCAGCAGAGCGGATCTCTGCACCTTTCAGGAGAACTGGGTCGTCCTCAGACTGGACCCCACGTTCATGCCCAAGGTAAACTCCCCCTTTCACAGAGCATTAGAGATAGTCCTGCCGGACTTCTGTCCGCAGCCCTCCAGGGACAGGGAAAGATCATGGCACCAGCTGGATGTCAGAAGAGCCCTGAGCATCTATCTGAAGCGCATGGCGCCCTTTAGGCGTTCAGAGGCCCTCTTTGTTTCCTTTCAGGCCTCTACCCGGGGAGCCAAGGTTTCCCCGGCAACCATTAGCAGGTGGATCAGAGCGGCCATCTCAAAGGCCTACGAGGCACGGGGACTCCAGGTTCCAGAGGGCATCACAGTGCACTCCACCAGAAGTGCGGCCACCTCAGTGGCCTGGGCCACCCAGGCTCCCATAGAAGAGTTTTCAGGGCTGCCGCCTGGTCCTCTCCCTCGCCTTTCATTAGGCATTACCAGCTAGACGCTTACTCCTCCGCGGAAGCGGCCTTTGGGAGGAGGGTTCTTCAGGGAGTCTTAGANCTTTTTCCTTTTAATTTTTCTTTTCTTTTCATGATGACAGTGGTGAGGCCCTGCCTCCCCTGACTGCAGGTCCCTGTTTTGAACATATATCCTCCTGATAATCACCAATCTTTTAATACTGTCTACTGAAGTGTGGAGAAGCAAACTTGTTCTCAGGCTGCCCTTTTCCAAGAAAACAAAATTTTGCAGGTCTTTTTTTTTTTTTTTGCAAAGCGTTGATTAAAAGTGTGTGGTTATTGCCTTAAGGAGAGTTTCTGAGAAAGTCGACTAAGATACCAAAGGAGAAAATAAGGACAAAAACAAACAAACAAACAAACAAACAACCCCAGATTTCCTTACGTGTACCTCTTCCTCGGCCTGATTCTTTGGGACCTCTGTCAAGAGCTGCCACATGCTGTGCTTGAGCCTCTTCATGTCCATCTTTTTGGCAGTTTTTGCATATTGAATGTCTATTTTGTTCACCTGGAATCCAAAATTAGGCAGAGTTAGAAGACCAATATAACCCAAAGACAAACCTGCAACCCTCCTTTCAAAGTACTGCTATTCTGTACTTGCGATCCTTACTTAAAATAAATACATCTTCTTTCTAGAGGAAAAAGCACACAAAATGAGAAAACTAATCTAGAACTAAGTTTCGAGCTAGTTTATCACAAAAAGCAAGCCCATCTCAGCCTGCCTGAAATACGAAAAGCATGGAATTTCAGGAGACATCCTTTCCAGTTATGAAGAGAGGGAAATATAAGCCATATCTTTCACTAACTTAAAATACAAATAGAGATATATGATTGCCCTCTATAGATTCTCAGTCATCCAGGTCCTGGTTGTCCCAAAGGTGCTTTTTTCAGGAGGCAACTGGACTATCTTGATTTTTTCTTTTGAAGATGTTTCACTTCTCATCCAAGAAACTTCTTCAGTTCTCACAGGATGGTGGGGAATAGAAGGATTTATACTCCTTGCAGGCAGCTGGTCATTTGCATCCTTTTAGAGGGTCCTTGAAGCACTTGGAGGTTTATCTGTGTCCTGTTAACTGTTGGAATGGGAGGCTGAATCAACCTTGAGCTAGACAGAATCAAACTCCTGGCAGTGGGCAGAGTTAGCCTACAATACTGGCCTTCTAGCCATTGCGGCACCAAGAAGGAGAAAGGGAGAGAAAGAGAGAAAGAAGGAAGGAAGGAAAATAGCAAGAGGAAACAACTTCATAGTGGTTTTATAGAGTCAGCCTTTTGCCCTAACAATCTAGGTCCACATTTTACTGACCTCGGAAGGATGGAAGGCCGAGTCAACCTTCAACCCCATCAGAATCAAATTCCTGTCTGTGTGCAGTTTGCCTGCAATACTACATTCTAACTACTTTTGCAGCTTACCCTTACCTGCATGATGGGTAAGTCACAGGTAGATCTTCCACCCATCGCCAAGTTGTATTGTATATCATAATTTCCCAACCCGGCACATTCAGATGCTAATTGGGAATTGGGGGAGACCCTGTTTTGGGACTGTGCGTTCCAAACTCATACTTGCCTTTTGAGGCTCAGCTACCATGTTGGCTTCACCATAGGTGGAGATGTTGAATCCTCTGGCCTTTCCATCACCAAGTTCTCCATCGTGGTCATCTCCACCCGTAGGGTAGGCTGTCATTTCAAACATCCCTCCCTGACCTATGAAGTTCACAGGCCCATTGTCGTCATCATCATCGCTGTCGGCGTCCTGAATAGAAAGAAGAGAGGGAAAAAATCAACAGGAGAGGGGTCAAGTCTTAAGTCTCAACTCTCTCAGTCAGAGAGTTCTATAATAATAATAATAATAATAATAATAATAATAATAATAATAATAATAATAATAATAATAATAATAATAATAATAATAATAATAATAATAATAANATGGAACAGAAGTTGCCTTCAGAAGTTGTGGGAGCTTCATCCCTGGAAGCTTTCAAGAAGAGACTGGATTGCCATCTGTCAGAAATGGTGCAGGGTCTCCTGTTTGGGCTGAGGGGGGTTGGACTGGATGACCTATCAGATCCCTTCTGTTATTCTTTACAGATAGTTCCTGACTTACAACAGTTCATTCAGTGACCGTTTAAGGTTACAAAGGCACTGAAAAATGTGACCGTTTTTCACACCACCTTTCCAGTATCTCCAGATCGCGTCATCAAAATCCAGACACTTGGCAACTGACTCATATTTATGACGATTGTAGTGTCCGGGGCTCATAGGATCACCTCTTGGGACCTTTGGAGAAGCAAAGTCAATGGATTCACTTAACAAGATCCAGTGATTGAGTATTTACAACTTCTGGTGGCAAGCTGTTCCCCTGATTAATTGCCCTCACTGTTAATAAGTTTCTCCTTAATTCCAGGTTGCTTCTCTCCTTGATTAGTTTCCAGCCATTGCTTCTTGTCCTGCCCTCAGGTGCCTTGGAGAATAAATTGACCCCGCTCTTCTTTGTGGCAGCCCCTCATATAGAGAAATACTGCTGTCATGTCACTCCTATTTCTTCCTTTCTTCAGACTAGCCAAATCCAAATCCTGCAGCTGTTCTTCATATGGTTTTAGCCTCCAGGCCTTTAATCATCTTAGTCGCTCTTCTCTGAACTTTTTCCAAAGTCTGAACATCTTTTTTGTAGTATGGTGACAAAATTGGTTGAGTATGCCAGGTGTGCAGTATTTCAGGTGTGATAATAACCAATCTTTATTTTCATTTTCATACAAATAACCACATGTATATCATTACATAACCAACACTATTTTGTATTATTCAATATTATGTCAATTCGTCTTACCATCAAGCCCCAAAAACTATCATTGGCTCTCCTGCTCTCCATATTTTTATCCTATCCATCACTTTCTTCTCACTCTCTCCTCCTCCCTACCTCCTCTCTTCCCTCTATCATCCTTCTCTTCTCTACTTCCCCTTCCTCTCTCTCCTCTCTTCTCTTTCCACTCCATCTTTCTCTCTTTCTCTTTCCTCTCTCCCTCTCTCCTAACCCCTCTCTTCCTCCTCTTGTCTCCCTTCTCTCTTCAACTCTCTTCATCTCGCTAACATGGTGTATTTCAACTTCTGAGCTTGCTCCATTTAATGTTGATGGTGTTAGTAATTTCATTTCAATAAACATCTTTCATATTATTTTGAACCAGTGACGTGCGGTGAGGTTCAGGGCCGGTGAGGCAAGTGGGCAAGCATCTTATGCCTGCCAGCACCAGCCGCCCCCGAAGCCCCGACATGTCCCACTGTATGGCCGGCGTGGCGGCATGCAGTTTAAAATGCCGGCGCGCCTGTCCACCATAGAGCGGAACATGTCACGCTGTATGGCCGGTGGCGGCATACACTTTAAAATGCCGGTGCGCCTGTCCACCATAGAGCGGGACACATCACGCTGTATGGCCGGCACGGCGGCATGCACTTTAAAGTGCCAATGCGCCTGTCCACCATACAGCGGGAACGTCCCGCTCTATGGCGGAAAGGCGGCATGCACTTTAAAGTGCCGGCGCGCCTGTCCGCCATACAGCAGGACATGTCCCGCTCTATGGTGGAAAGGTGCGCCAGCACTTNGTTACTCCTCCCACGCCACTCTACGAAACATGCAGTTCAGGTAAGTCCAACTGCCATTTTCACCGAAACCCTAGAAGAGCATGTTAAACTAGTACATCAAGTGCTAAAGACGCTCTTAGCGGCTAACCTATATGCTCCAAATGCAAATTTCACCAGTCTCATCTGGACTACCTGGGGTATCGAGTGTCTAGTGAAGGGGTGGAAATGGATCCTGGAAAAGTCAAAGCTGTTTTAGACTGGCAAGCCCCTTGCACCTGCAAACAGCTTCAAAACTTAGGGTTTGTGAACTTTTACCAACAGTTCATCCCAATTGCTGAAATCTCCCTCCCCATCACCAAACTGCTAAAAACGGGAGGGGGAGGGGTCAAACCACAATCAAGTCAACCATTGAACTGGACCCTAGACTGTCAAAAAGCATTTGAGACACTTAAAAGACTGTTTGCCATGGAACCAATACTGAAACACCCAAATCCTGAGCGCTCAAATTCATCATCCAAGTGGACACCAGTGACGTGGCAGTGGCTGCAGTCCTTCAGAAAAACTCCCAAGGCAATCTGCAGCCCTGAGCCTACACCTCCAAAAAACTGACAGAGACCGAAAGGAGGTGGGCGATATGAGAGAAAGAAGCCTATGCAGTTCAAAGGGCCTTATTAACTTGGTGCCATTTCCTAGAAGGCAGTCAAATCCCATTTGAAGTATGGACCAATCACAAGAACCTGGAGGCACTTAGGACCCCATGGAAACTTCCCCCCAAACAAGTCCACTGGGCACAATACTTCAATCAGTTCAATTTTATACTGAACTATATCCCAGGAGGGGAAAACCTGCTAGCAGATGCATTGTCATGAAAGCCCCAATACAACAGCAAACGTGAGGAAGTGGTCCATGCCATGCTTTCCCCCTCTCAGCCGGCCTCTCAAGCCACCACTCAATGGCAAGTGGAATGGCAAAGAGCTGGAGACAGCAAAGCACTAACTCAAAACCTAAAAAATGAACTGCCAAATGACCCTTGATACAAATACAACCAAGGGTTGCTAACCCTCAGAGGCGGGCTAGCGTGGAAGGGCTGTAAACTATACATCCCCAACAGCCTGTGCCTCCAAGTACTCCAACAAAGCCACGATTCCAAGCAAGCAGGGCACTTTGGCTACTTAAAGACACTACGCCTGGTGAGAAGGCAATTTTGGTGGCCAAAGATGAAAAAAGACATTGAGGACTATGTCAAAAGCTATGCCACATGCACAGCCATGAAGAAGAGACCAGGGAAGCCCCCAGGTGTGCTCCAACAAGTGGTGGATCCCTCCTGGCCATGGGAGGAAATCACTATGGACTTCATTGTAGAACTCCCTGATAGTGGAGGGAATACGGTCATTTCGACGGTAATAGACTTGTTCTCTAAACAAGCCCACTTTATAGCTTGCTCAGGTCTTCCATTGGCCCACAAGCTAGCTAAACTATTTGTCAAGCACATCTATAGGCTGCACGGTGTCTCCCATAGAATAATCTCTGACAAGGGAGTCCAATTAACAGCTGAATTCTGGAGGGTATTTGTAAAATCTATTGGGTCCTCACAAGGGCTCAGTTCAGCGTTCCATCTGAGCACTAACAGGGCCGCAAAACATGCCAACATGATGGTGGAACAATATTTAAGATGCTATGTAAACTATCAACAAACCAACTGGGCAGAATTACTGCCTTTTGCCAAAGTGGCATACAACAACACGGTGCATAGTAGCACCAGTCTGACCCCTTTCCAGATCACCAGTGGCATGGAATTTGTTCCCATGCCCAAACTCCCTAGGGAGCCACCCTTCTCCATGTCAGTAACCGAGTGGATGGAGTCCCTGAAAAAAGCACGGGAAAATACAAAACAGGCTCTGCAGGAAGCGGCAAAACCCATAAAGTGGAGCCAATAAACATTGAGTCCCCCAAAGGCCATTCCACATAGGAAACAATAGCAATAGCAATAGCAGTTAGACTTATATAC